AAGGATAAGGATCCTAGATTTTAAAAGAAATTATATAAAATTTATAGTTTTTATTAGATATATTTGAAGTCATTTAAAAACATTTATTAAACACATACAGTAGATAAATATAAAAAGTTTGATTACCATAATTGATTATAAATGAAAGTATTTTATTGTTAATTAATGTCTTTCAGCTAAGATTTTAATTATAAACAATATTATACTTTATTTTGTATCATTATTTTTTATTTTTGTACTTAATTTATATAATTGATATTTTTAATAAAAATGTATAATAATTTGATTCCTAATAGGATATTTTGTTTATTTGAAGTATTCTTTCATAAAATGTTGGAAATATTTATATTAATAGTAATTTATGATTATTTTTAGTATATTGTTAAGTTTCTGGAATATATTTTATAAAAATTATAATTTATTTTTTAATTATTAAGATACTATACTATTATAAATTCTTAAATACAATTTAATTGTAAAATGTCAAAATTAATCCAAATATATATATATATATATAGTTAATAAAATTAATTACTTGACTTTATTTTATTTAGAATTTCAAATATAATGAAATTATATTTTTTAGTATTCTATAACCAAAATTTTTACTATATCTTACATATATAGCATATATGATTTTTATTATATTTATTATATATTTATTATATCTTACACACCATAAAAAATTACAAAAAATAAAAATTATATATTATCAATAGATTCATTATCAGAAATTTTTTAAATATTTATGTAATAGCAAATTGTTGCATTAATAATAATCATCTTCATTTTGAATTCTGTGTATTGCTAGTTTAGGCAATAATTGAATTGAAATGTTACAATTTTACTTTATTAAGAATAATAATTAAGGGAATATAATTTTTTTGATTAATAACAAATTTAAAGCATAAATAATTAGTTATATACATAATAAATAAGTAATAAATGTGAAGAAAATAACTAATTATTGGGATGGAAGATTTCTGTTTTAAGTAATAAAAAAATATTAAAATATACATGCTACTAAGAAAAGTCAATATAAAATTAAAAGTTTAAAATTATTAATAATTTTGTCGTCAGTATATATTATTTGTTGTAAAAATATATTTAGTATATTTGGGAGGTATTGAAAGAAAACAAGTATTTATTTATTATTTTTAAAATAAATAAAGATGTCAATGCATTATTGTCATTTAAGTTTGTTACAATAAATCGGTTATACCTATAATAAATGATTGATTTAATAATATTAATATGTACTGCACATTCAAATAAAAAATAAATAAATTAAAATGTATAAAAGGCTACGATAATTTGTTTAAAATACTACATTAATGTTATAATACGAAAATGTAAATTTTTCATGAATTAGAATTTATTTTATAATCTTTTTTATAATATAGAATTTCAGTATTTATTATCAATTATTAATAAAAAAAAATTTAGTTTTGTTAATTGTTAAAAATTTAAGTTTACTCAAATTAAACTTTAAGTACAAATTCTGAATGCGCTAATTTATATAAATTTACTATATTATAAATATATCCATATCTACTATATATATCTTATAATTTTAAATTTAAACATAATTATTTTATTAATATTTCTATAATCTTTATTTAAATTGGTTGTATAACCACATCATTCAAAATTATTTTTGCCATGTCATGTGTATGTTACTACGGAAATAAAGGGATTATGACTAATTTTTTTATTATGACTTGATTTAATTAAGATTATATAAAATCAAAGTTCTTTAGATAGTATTACATCAATTTTACTTATGTTGTACTATACATTCATCTGAAGCGGCTATGTAGAAAAGAAAAGATATTAATATTTTCATTATCTGTCAAGTTCCGAGATATATACAGATTTTATTCTTAATTAACAATATTTATTGCTTTATTTTTGCTTAATGTTACTTGTATAAAATTTTTTAAATATTATACTTCTTTAAATCTTTAAAAAATATCATAAATTACCATAATTTTATTTAAATTTATATAAATTTGTAACACATTTTACTGATATAAACGCTTTAACTACTTTTACATCTTCAAAAATTACTCTGGTTAAAATTGTATTTGTACCAAATTATTATTATTTATTGATACTATTTATCGTTAAATAATGATAAGTAATTTGAGAGAAAAACGTTTCTATGCATAACGTAATAAAGAACAATGGGTATATGTACTTTTTTTTATTAATGGAGTTGTTACTGTTCGAAATTTAATGTTTATTTTATGGCTCGAACTACCAACGTTCAAAATTTAATGTTTATTTTATGGCTCGAACTGCCAATTCACTAGTTCAGTGGATTACTCTCTCGCCATAGCAATTAGGGATGAAGAAGGCACAAGTGGAAAGGCTGAAAAATATAATTAATATATTTTGAGTTCAATTGTTGTTTATTTTGGTTATGAATTATAATAATTTTTGGCGTTGTTGATTGCTTTTATTGATATAGATCAGTGGATTAATCTCTCGCCATAGCGATTAGGAAGAAAGAAGGTAGAAGTGGAAAGGCTGAAAAGTATAATGTAATATATTTTTAGTTCAATTATTGTTTATTCTGATTATGAATTTTAATAATATTGTAGCGTTGTTGGTTGCTTCTATTGAGATAGAGAATTATTCTATTGTAGTGGTATGAGTGCTTTCTTGTATTCTTAATTGTCGGACATTGCAGTTGAAGATCGTGCTAGCGCAAGTGATGTGTGAGATGCACTAATTAATAATATCAATCAATGAACGAAGTGTAGAATTACAATGAGCACTAACTGAATTGATAGTAAAAAACACCGTGAGTCAGGTGTGTGGCGACTGAATGGATGTTAAAAGAATAGTGGTTCGGTGCGTGGCGCGCTGCTTTTAAATATTCGCGGCATAGCTTGCGACGCCGGCAACAGTGCCGATGCCTGTTGCTATGCCGAAAATCGTTGTGACGTCAGAGAGAGAAGCTCTGGAATATTCTAGAAGCTTCATCTACGTTGCTATGCGGAAATATTGTCGTATATTAGACGTTACGGTGTAAGAAAATTCCTGGAATCGCTGAATTGTGCTTACAAACAAGCGTTTGTAATCTACCAATTTCAAATTTGAATTAAGCAGCCTCAATCCCGAACAGTTACAAACATAAATAAAAAGAAAATATTAGATCTTTTCAAACTTAATTTTTACTATTTTCTATGAAAGTATGTAAGATATAATAGAATATTTTTACATTTGTAGTAATATAATATAAGAAATAAATCAAAATTAAGATTTTGCAATAATTTTAGGACATATATGATAAAAGCTAATGTTGACTAAATAAAGCTTTTAAATACTGATTTACATTATTTAAATTATAAAAACAACGTTGAAATGAAAAAATAATCCTATAATGTTGGGAATTTCAATAAAAGAAATGTAATCACTACATTCTTTAATATTTTATTATGAATAGATTCAGCATTAAATGTCAAATACAATTTTAAGCTAAATATTTTTTAAACTTTCATTATTAAAACTGACATTTTTTAAACTTCAGACAAATAAATATAAATATTTTATACTTATTTTAATAAGAAAATGTAAAAACAATACGTCTCTTCACAGGAGTACTTTGTATATATAAATTAATTATATGAAACAAATAATTAAGCTTTCTTATTTCAATATTAGACATAATTTAATTGTATCTTTTTATTAATTATGTGAATTGTACAATCAAGAAGTATTAATTTATGCGGTCTAACTTTATCAAAACAAAAAATTGAGTTCTTATTGTTACAATTATTTAAATACATATTTTTCATGGATGAAAGAATCCCAAGGTGAATATTTTATAAAATGACGAATAATACCCAAAAAAGAAGAGGTCATTCACATATTGCAAAACTAATATTGCACATACTTAAAAAAAGTTATCCAATTACTAAACAAGATTATTAGCAAAAGATGTATCATCAAAAATAATGTAATAAAAAATATTAATATCAAATGAATGTGAAAATGACACAGTTTAAAATATCGTTTTAAATTTAATATAATTCATGTATTGAAGATATTAAATTCAAGATGATTTATTGAATTTTATCAGCATTATATTGAATCAGAACTATGAATTGTAATGTTTATTAATTAATCGAAATATCAATTCCTAAATTTGTTATATATTAAATCACGTATAGAAAATATAAAATATTAACGCATGATACATCTTTTAAAGTTTTTTTTATTGCATAGAAATAAAATAATAATATTAAAGAAATTAATTTAATGTATATTTGTTAATTAAAGTACTTAACAACTATTTTTATTTAAGTATTTATATATAACAGGTTTAATAAATTATTTTTTTTTAATATTGCAGTATTAATCAATAGAATTGAATGAGTTTATTTATATTTTTATATTTGCTAAGATTTCAGAAGCTTATTAAATAAATGTTATTTAGTTTAATAATAGTGTCCATAATAATTCAAATGTTTGAACAATGCCACCTTTTTAAAGAAGTTAATTAATCAAACAAAACAAATACTATTAATTAATGAATAAATAAAACATCACTGGAATATATTATTCTCTCATGAATATGCTATTTTAGTTTTTTGCATTTACATTTAAATTAAGATGTTTACATTCAAAATTTTGAGGTTAGAATTATCTTTTTTTTATGAAAATTGTAATTATTTTGTTTATGACGGAGCAATTTAAATTTGATGCAGAGCAATGTTTCAAGTCGTAAAAATAATTAAATAGAATTATATTTTAGTGAAACTTTTAGACATTTTAGTTTATATTAGAATACTTTCTTTTTATTAATACAAAATTATATAAAAAGTATAATGTTGAGCATTTAGTGGATAATATATTGGTTTTTTATTTTGATACTATAAACTAGATAGACTGTAACAAAATGTGAGATAAAATTAAATCGATAAAAACATGAACTATGTGGTGTATTATATGCATTGTAATTAGTATCAAAACTATTTCATATAGTTGAAAATAATTAAAATATATTCTAAAATTTAATTTTTTCAATTCAGTTAATAAAATATCATAAACATGTCATCTAAATCAGAAATAACATTAGAACATTTTTATATTTTCAACAACACATACGCAAAAAAAGAAGGGGAGGTAATTGTTCTAACTGAAAAATTTGAATTCTTATTCGTATTCTATAAATATTTAATTGTATTCACAGGAAAAAAATAAGATTTTATACTATTACCCAGCAAAAGTAGATATTGACAATCAAATAAAAAATATTGGGCTTAGCGAAGCAATTATTAAATTTACTGAGTAAATATATTTTTTATAATTAATTTAATGTTCATAATTTAAAAAATATTTAATTTATTATTATTATGTAGGTCATTTAATCCAGGGCAATCATGTGATTATTGTCATACTCAAAAAACTCGGCAAATTTATTTTCAACCTGAAATCCATTTCTGGATGGTTATGGTAAATTTAGTTGAATAACATTTCACTTTTTGTAAATATTGCATATATATTTATATATTTATATAGATTGTTGGAGTACCATTTATAACAAAAGAAAATGATGGTACCACATACATGGAATATCTAAATGATGAAGTATCAAGCACTGTCTGTCAAGCTATTTTAAAACAAGCATATACTATTTTTCGACTTTTTATGGGCTCATTTGATAATATTTTAAACGAACCAGATTGTGGATCAGTAATATTATTAAGATATAAGCTAGATCACTTTTATTCTCGAGTAAGTTAATTGAATCTACATGAACAAATTAATTGAAATTATTTTTGTTAAATTAAGTAAATTTGAATAAATTTACAGTATCTATTGTCATTAAAATTAAATAATAGTGACATTTTGGATATCTTTCATGGCTTAGTATTTTTACCTTTAGATAAAATTACTTTTTTACGAGTTCAGTGTTTCATGAATTTAATTGAAGCAACTTTTCCACAAGTAAAATATACTGCATTTTTATATAACAATCAGCTTGTTTGGTATTTAAATATTTTATTATTTCAAATTATTAATTATAATTCAATTAAGTTAACATTAGCATTAATTTTTGTTTAGGAGTGGATTAGAACCTGAAGATATGCAAGTAGTTTATAATTACTTAATTAATACACTTTTACCGGCACATTTAGAAAAAGAATTGGATGATAGTTCAATTTCTCGTAATTCTTCATCACCATTTACAACATCTCATTATGGAAAGTAGGAAAACTGATTATTACAAATATAATATATTAAAAAAAATATATAAATGATTTTAATTTATTATTTAGATTTGTTACTGGACCATCAAGTATTAATGATGTAAAAAAGTTACCGAAAGTATTTATTAATTATTCAACAAAACCTATATCATTATATTTAATTGTATATCGAGCATTAAATGCGACCGTGTGTTTATTTGTTGATAGTATGTTAAATATTTTTCTATATATTCAATGTTTTAAAATAAATATAATTATTTACAAAAATTAATTTAATTTTTAGGTACAAATAGCCCCATGTTTTATACTACTTTAGATTCCTTTCTGGGTGTTCAATTGACATCATTAGTAAATTCAATATCAGAACAATATTCCAAACATACATCTGTTACAACAGAATCAAGTCCAAGATATTTATATTTTAATAAATTAAATTTAGCATATAAGAGTACTATACACAATGACCATAAACGATTTTCAAATGTTATAGTTACTTCAGAAGTTTTAAGAATTATAACAGATATAAATAGTGACACCAGCAGGTTAATATCATTGTTATTAAATGTCATAATAGTTGTATAAAAATAAAAATATATTTCTAGATTGAAAGAAACTGGGGAAATTGTTATAAAAACTATGAGCGATTACTGGATTGTAGGAAAATTATCTAATTTGAGAGAGTTCTTTGTTATTATACAACAAAAAAATGCTAGTATCATTGAAATTGATGGTATAATTTTTTTAATTTGAAATTTAAAAAGTGTATATAATATTAAATAAATGAATCTTTTATTATTTACAGATGAAGTCAACAGATTATGTGACCAACAACTAAAAAGTATTTTCTTTCATTAATTAAAAATTAAATAATTAAAATATTTTGTTTTGAAAATATTTATTAATAAAATTAAGAACTTTCTGTTACTGAAAAATCATTGCTATTCATAAACAAAAGTATTGCTTAATAAATGATAAACATACCATTGTATATAAATATTAATCATGCATATTTTATAACATGAAACAATTTTCTTCCTAATAGATATTAAAATCGATTTGATATTCATAATTTTTTTTTGTAAATGAATATATGAATATTTTTTTCCCTCCACCCAAGAAATATAAATTAAATGTAAAAAATAACACATTTATTAAAACTATATATACCTATCAGTTTATAGAAATTAAAAGTATTTCATAAACTTACTTATTTATATAATTTAACAATATATTTATTTACTGTCATACTACTTAGTTTTCAACATCTTTTTCAATAATAATTTCTCCGTTAGGTATTATATTTGAACATTTTTTAAGTTTTGCAACAAAAAAACCATCCATATTATGCACATGAGGGTAAAACCTTTTTGTTAATTTTAAAGAAGGATGAAATCTATATTGTCTGTAGTTAGTAAAACCATCAGCTCCAAATTCTAACCCAGTTGGAACTAATTTAATATCACGCTTTTTTAAAGCATAATTAATAATCCATTCATTTTCTTCAGGAAGTATTGAGCATGTTGAATATACAATAATGCCACCAGAGCCTGATCGAGCATTGACACAATCTATAGCAGCCAATAATAAATCACGTTGTAATGTGCAACATCTTTGTTCATCAATTTTATCTTTGTTAATTTTTACACTAGGATCTTTTACAATAACCCCTGTGCCTGTACAAGGTGCATCCAATAGAACTCTGTCAAATCCTCTTACAACCTAATATTAAATATATTATAAATATTTTACAGCATTGTATATATTGATGTTAGTTCTATTCTTACCGAAGATATTTTTCTGCCGTCATGGTTACAAATAACTGAATTAGTTATACCTAATCTATGGAAGTTACCAACTACAGCCTTCAATCTATCTTTATTTACATCATTTGCAAATAGAATACCTGTATTTTTCATCAATGCTGCAATATGAGATGATTTCCCACCAGGAGCAGCACACATATCAAGTATTTTTTCATTAGGTTTTGGATCTAAAGCCATTACAGGAAGAAAACTAGATGCTCCTTGAATTATATAATGACCCGCCAAATATTCTGGTGTTGCACCCATTGGAACTTGCGATGAATATATTACCAATCCAATATTTGTCCATTTTCCGATTGGATCTAAATTAACTCCTCTACTTATTAAATTGTGTGCTAAATCACGTCGTCGTACTTTTAGAGTATTTGTTCGAAGAGTCATAGGCCTTTGTACCTCACTAGCTTCCAAAAATTCAAGTAATTCATTTAATGGAAATATTTGCATTAATTTTTCCATTAAAAATTTATTATAACTAAAGTATGTACATAAATCTGTTTGAAGTAATTCCAAATAATCTGATCGAGATCTATAAATATGAATATAATATATAATTCATCAGAATTTCAAGAACTTTAAAAATGGAATAAATACAAAATTTAATATACCTATCTAATTGTCGTAGCTTATTAAAATCTGTTAGTATTAAAATAATATCCTGAATACGTTGTTGTATATCAGTAAAATTTATTGAATTATTAAGCATTTCTGAAAAGGTAAATATTTGCTGATATGAAGTACTTTCACGCATTTCAGCTTCAGCTAATTCTCTAAAAAAAATATTGTTCTTATTATTTATTTATTAATATTTATTAAAATTTTTGAATAATAATAAAACCTTTCAGTTTCTTGTTTTTTTTTTAAACTTTTATTTGCTTTTTCAATTGGTAGTAAATCACTGCAATTTTCGGAATCACTATTAATTTCATCTTCATTATCTATACTTTGACCTTTTAAATATTTGCAGCTATTACTATCATTATAAGAATTATCACTAATCTGTTGAGTTAAATATTGATCAATTTTTTTTACATTATCTTCTGAATGTAATATTTCCTATTAAAAAAAGATAAATTAAAAATATAAATTTACCATAAATACTTGATTATTACAAATTAAATATAAAAATTGTATACATTTTTTTTTTATGTACAATTACACTTACGTTTTTAAAATTGATTGTGTTATCAATATTTTTATTTTTCTTTGTATTTTGTATTTTTTGTTTTAACTTTTTTATTTTATTAGTTTTTAATTCACTGTTTTTATTTTTTGTATTTGTAAAATTTGATTGCATTAAATTATCATTGTATTTTAATATTTTCTTATGAATACCTGGAACAATCTTATTTTGATTATTTGTATTAAAAGAAACCTTTTTAAATGCTGATAACTTTTTATTTCCTTTTACTTCCTTTTTTAACAATCTTTTTCTACCTCTTTGTATTTGTCTATGACTTAATTTTCCTGAAAATTTTTCTACACAACATAACTAATGTAGTAATTGCGTTATTAGATTTTATGTAATATAAATAATAAATAATTACCTATTTCATCTAGAAAACATGGCTTTTGTCGTTTCTTTTCTTTTTGATTAAAATTTGTCTTAACTTTTTCATCAAATTTAGCTTTCCTACCCATTTTTTTATTGTTAATAAATTTAAATAATCTATTAAAAGTATATAGCAATATAATATATTATTTGAAAACTTCCTTTATTAATAATAAATAAATAATGATCATTGTTATACAATCTTAAAATTAGTTTACTATATGTACTAACCTAAAAGTAGTTTAGTACTTTAATAAATTTAATTAGGTATAATTTAATAAATTGATTTATTAATATAATATGAAAATATGTATTTAGATTTAATTTTTACAAATTTTTACTAATTTTAATAAAGTTAATCAACACATTTTTTAATTTAAAAGTGTTAGCACGTGCAACTATTATTCATACGAACAAGTTAGTGACAGATTAAAATCTAAATCCTGGAATGAGTATTGGACAATTATATTTTAAAATATTCTTTATGTAATTATATTGTGGGTCAAATCTAAAATTAACTTTTTGAAATAAAAATTTTTAATTCAAACTAACAATTTTATATTCAATCTATGAAAACAAAATATTTAAAACTATATTATTTTATTACTACAATATATTAAAAACATTTCGTTTCATAGGAATTGACACAAATTTTTTTCGGACTTTCAACATTAATGGATGTTGGACATAATTCTGATGGTTCATTGCTGTATGTTGAGCTGTCAAATTGAGAATATAATGAGTTTCAAGTGAATGACGAAGCAAAATTCCATAAAATTTTATATATTTTCAAAATTGAAATAAAACATCTATTTTGTTAAAAAATTGACTTACATAATATGTTTAACAAAAAATTATATAGATACATTAAACGTAAAATTTTCAATAATTAAAATGAAATATTTCTTATAAAATAAGTTTTTCTTAAAAATTTAGACAAAATGGGAAGTCAAGAAGTTCAAATGTCATCAAAAAATGCTGATGAACACAGTGTTGATGTTTGTACTCATCTTTTTATATAAAATTAATTTATAAATTTTTTTGTATACAAAATATTTGTAGTAAATAATTTTTTAATTACTCTATTTATATTCTAATAATGATATTGAGAATTTTATGTTTTTAGACATTGGCAGAAGTCTTTAGATGTTTTATTTGCATGGAAAAATTGAAAGATGCACATTTATGTCCTCATTGTAGTAAATTATGTTGTTACATATGTATAAGGCGATGGTTAACTGAGCAAAGATCTCAATGCCCACATTGTCGAGCTGGACTTCGTCTTCATGAATTAGTAAATTGTCGTTGGGTGGAAGAGGTTACTCAACAACTTGATACATTACAAGCTGTAAGTATTTCTAATTCAAGACTTGAGGATTCTATGAAAGATAGGTAATAAATAAAAATTAAGTATAATAATTTACTTTTAAGTCAAACATTCAAATTAGTAAATTGTTTAGATGCTCTATACATCGTGAAAAGTTAACAGTTTTTTGTTGGACTTGTCAAAAATGTATTTGTCATCAATGTGCTCTTTGGGGTGGTACACATTCTGGACATATTTTCAAACCACTTGAGGAAGTATATGAAAGTCATGTTATTCAAATTAAATCAGAAATAGGACAGCTAAAACACAGGCTTATGGAATTAATTACATTTATTCGAGAAGTAGTAAGTACATATATTCAGAAATTATTGATAATTATTATTTTAAATCTATTTATTTAATTATAATAGGAACAACATATAGAGTCTATTAGAGCAGCAAAAGATGAAAAAGTTAGAGAAATTAGAAGTGTTGTAGAATTAATAATTGCCCGTTTAGATTCTCAGTTAAAAACAAAACTTTTAACTTTAATGGGTCAAAAAAATTCATTAGCTATTGAAACTCAACAGTTGGAAACATTATTACAAAATATTGATGAACTATTACATTCGTCTTCTCGTTCTGAACTTATTACACGTAGTACTGAATGGTCACATATTGTATATCAAATTTGTAAAAAACCTATGACTAGTTTTAAATTTGCTACAGTGCCAGCCGATTTTCCAAAGTATGTGTTTAAAGAAAAAAAAATACGTGTTTAAAGTAAACTCAATTTTTATATTTATTTTTATTTTAGTGAAATTGTACCAGGGTATGATAGCGCAACTTTTGCATTGCAAAATTTTTCTCAATTGCAGTTAAAAGGAGATCCAGTTTATTCTGCACCTTTGCATGTTAATGGATTAAGTTGGAGATTGAAAGTTTATCCAAATGGTAATGGAGTTGTTCAAGGAAATTACTTATCAGTATTTTTAGAACTAAGTACTGGTTTACAAGAAACTTCTAAGTATATCAAATAATTTAATAAAATAATTAATATCAAAAGTATTAATACTACTTTGATAATAAACTTATTATATTTAATATTTTTAGATATGAATATAAAGTAGAAATGATTCATCAAGGAACACAAGATACTAGTAAGACTATTGTAAGAGAGTTTGCTTCCGACTTTGAAATCGGTGAATGTTGGGGTTATAATAGATTTTTTAGATTGGATCTTCTAGCTACAGAAGGATATTTAAATACAGAATTAGATACTTTAATTTTAAGGTACATATTTGAAAAATCTTAATTTTCTGTGATATATAATCTATAATATACATTACGTAATTTTGTATTAATTACTAGATTTCAAGTACGGTCTCCAACGTTTTATCAACGTTGCAGAGATCAGCAATGGTATATAAATCAATTATTAACTATTCAAAATCAATATGCTACGCAAATGAATGAACTCAAAGAAGTATATATTTTAAAAACTGAATAGTCATGTCTTTATATATTAATTTCAGCATATAATAAATCCTTTTATCTATTCATGTTTAGAGACTGATGATAGAAATCTCACGTAGTACTGCAATAACTTCTGAATATGATGCTATAATTGAAAATTCAAATACACAGCCAAAACAACATAATCAAATTGCAGGAAAATCTAATGATGCAGACACTCCTTGTTCATTAAAAACTAATCCAATAATCATTCCAGATTCCAAGTGAATAATATAATTCATTGAATATTAAAAATTTATAATTTCCATTTTCTAAATATTTTTTTTATTCTTAGAATCTTACAAAATGACATATCTACTACATATTCTCCAAATGAAGTTTGGAAAATGGTGCCATTATGTGGTATAGATAAACTAACAAATGTAAGTCCAATTGGATCAATGTCTAGATTATCTTTTGTCTCAAAAGCAAATATCGAACAATTTTCAAGCATTTATAACTGTACAAACAAGACTCAATCAAAAATTAATGTTCATGATGTATTAAAAGAAGGAAGTACTGATGTAGAAAGTCATTCACCCAAATCTTTAGATGTATCATTTTCTATTTTTAATTTACCATACTCCAATGCTTCATCAAGCATTCACAGTAGTGCAAGCGAGGTAAAATTGATAGTGAAAAATATTTTCCATATTTTAAATTTTGTATAATATTTTTTCAATTTGATTATTACAAATTGGCTGTTAGGAACTAAATGAATATAATTTGTATATGGATGAATGCAGCCACATTGAAACTAATTTAACATTGTTAACCAATCATTTAAATGACAATGATGCAGATGATGAAACTATTTCTGGTAAGAGACTATGCAATAACAATAAGAATATAATAATTATTTTATATAAAATCTTCTAAATTTAGATATATAAAGAAATGAAAAGTAAAAAATTTTATAATATATTTAAATTTTTTTTTTTAATTTTTATATCAAAGAATAATATTTTAAAAATACTTTATATTATATGTATTTGTATTTTTTATTAGGTGAAAATGATATTGATGTTGAAACTTTAGTCCCAGTGTTACATAATAAAGAAAGAATATGTCTAAAAAATCTAGAAATTCCCAATAGTATTAATAGGTAAGAATGTTTTTTAAATCTTGTTTTAGATTTAGTAAATATATTTTGAACTTAATACTTAAAATAGTTTAAGACATAATAATAGAATTGATGATGAAATTATGTTACATCATTTATTTAAGATGCAAAATTGAAATTTAATTTGGGTATCGTGTTTAACAGAAAAATCAGATGAAACAAATGAAGCAAAAATGTATTTTTTTAGTTTGCAGGCAAGGAATATAGATACTCTACATTGTTCTAATTTAATAGACACACACACCTTGATTAATGTGCATAAATATCCAGAAGCTGGTTTACCTGCTAGTGAACAAAATTGTTCAAACAAACATTCATCCTGCATTTCTTATTTATATGAAACACAACCAATATTTAATAATCATCTAAGAATAGATAATCATGCGAATCGTGAATATCGAAGTATTAGAGATATCATAACTTTTAATGCTGAGGTAACAAAATCAGTATCTAAAATTCATTCAAATTTAGTAGATTGTGATAATGACAAAATTTGTTCGAATTTATGTTCTGTTGGTTTTAAGTGTCGTAATCAAGAATTAAATACATCAGAAATATCTGATTTAACAATACCGACTTGTAAGTACAATGAATTTATAAATTCAATTGATTTAAGTACTAATTAAAATTTAAAAATTTCTTCTTTTTAAATAGTATCATTGGATAATAAAAATGCCAGTCAAAAACATTTATCAACTAATCATCAAACATATCTGCCAACACCAAGTGATACAAATTGTTCTGGTATTGATAGTGATAAGATGATAGAATTCGAACAACTTCTGGAACATATGGAATTTTTAACCACTGACGATGTAGCTATATGTGTGGATAATCAAAGGTAACTATAAAATTTAAAGTGTTTCTATCAATTTTTAAACATTTTATAAATAGAAAACAAATTGTCATTATATTCACATTCATTAACTAAAATAACATTATTTAGAATATTACATTATTTTTGTACTGTAATACCAATTTAAAATTATTAAAAAATTTAATTTACAGTTTTTAGCTTAAATATGTTATAAATTTTGTCGTATTATTTAAATATTAAAATAATTATTTTTAATTAACTAGGTGATGTATTAATGTTGCAAATATATATTTTAAAAATCTTTATCCTATTTATTTTACATTGGAGGATTAAAACGATTTTGAGGAATCCTTAATGTAAAGTCTAGTTATAAAATTTAATTGTTTCAATGTTGTATAAAAAAACATTTTAATATTCATAAAACAAACTATAATAACATACTTTAAAACTTATAGAGAAAAAATTAAAATGTAATAATTTAATTGTTATTAATAAATCGGTTCTTGGTCAGCTATTATGTAACAATTTAATGGATTTTTTATATGAATTTGTGATAAAATGGAATATCTTATCTCAGCTCATCAAATAGTAATAAAAAAGTGAGATCCTTTTTTGCTTCGTTGTTGTTTCCACACATGGTTATTTAATGACAATTGACTATAATAATAAATTTCTTCGTTAAGATTGATTGGTTCCCATTGTTAACTACTGACAATATATTAACTAATACATTATTATATCATATACAAATGAAAATAGTAATAATTACAATACATTACATTACTTTAATGGCGAATTTGATAGTATTAACATTAGTTTCATACGTCAAATGCAAATTATACAAATATTTCATTTAAAAATGCATTAATTAGAAGATCCACGTACATTTTTCCGTGGAATCATGCCATGGAATGCTATATATATATATATATATATATATATAGTATTATATACAGCAATAACTATTGTCAAGGCAGGGAATAAAGAATGATTCATCACATTTGGACAATCGCGATTGATCGATTTCATTTGGCGTAGCAGCATCTTCCTATATTCTTCAAAAACAAGCTCGCAAATTTTTACAAGTGTAATGAGTAAGTGAAGAACTCAAATATTTTCAGGCGTATCATAAAGTTACATAGAGAGGTGTCTTGCAAGTATATAATCTGTCTCATGAAGTAAATATATATATATATATAATATATATATATATATATATATATATATATATATATACATGTGTTCGCACACGCCCATGCATGTGTATATACATGACTATCTTATCTATTTTCTAAAATTTATGATATTTATCGTCATTGTCTACTTCGCTTCATTATGTTATTTTACATTGTTTGCCTTATCCAAATTTACTTTATATTTCACGGATCGTTTAATTACAAAATAGATACGTAATAGTATTATAATCTACTTATTAATTTCCTTATTAATAGTAATTCTCGTAATAATATTGTGCATTTGCACGTATGTGTAAATGCAAATTCTAGTAAAATATGAATCATAATAAATTTTCTTCAAAATACAAAAAAGCTTTTGTTTAATAAAAAAACTAACAAATTACCTTTGAAAATATGTGTAAACTTCCATAAAAAAATTTAATTAAATATATTGTATCATAAGCTAAAACATGTGTTCAGCCATATTACTTGTAACGAGCATTCCAATGTTATTGTATAATCTTGGTTTAAAATAGTTTAAAAATGTAAAATATATTATTGCATAAAAATTCATTCAACGTTATACTCTCAAACCAATGCACAATAATATCCCAATAGTCCCAACTATTCTACAACTATTCCTTAAAGAGACTCAAGAGAAAGTTATTATACTTTGATTACGCCTTTAGCGCGTTATATTATAATCGTTTCTGATGTCGTTCTTATCATTTAATGAGATTGTGCTATATTAGTGCTATAAGCGATAGTATATTCTTCTTGGAATAGAAGATCTCAATGATATATCTGTGTTGAGCTCTTTCAGTAACTCGCATTTCAATAACATTGCTATTTGAAAAAATAACACCCAATTATGACGATTTGTGGAGCTATATCGACTGACGTGCACTAACATTATTATTATAAATTACATATATTATTAAATATTAATTATTCTTTATATTTAAAATATTAATCATATTTTTTTATTTTCTGTGGTTTGCAGAGATTGAGAGTGAGTTCAGTAAGTATGATGGATAATAGCAACTTTAAGTGAATAGAAAAACAAAAAAAATTGTTTTCACTCACACCGCATTTGTTTTGCATTTACCTATTTTCCTTCTAACCTTTTCTTATTCCCGTTTAGTGATACAAAATACACGTCAAGTTTTCAAAGAGCCCTAATGTCGATACCAAAGTAATCAGGCCATCGAATCATGCTACAAAACATTGTTACAAAGACTTCATTAAACACCATTTACAGCATTCTTTTACTTACATATTAAGATATTTGTTATTATTTGATAATTGATTATATTCAAAACATAAGGTAATTTAATGATAAATGAGGTAAAGAATTATTTTATTATTTATGTTATTAAAGATTATCTGAAATTGTCAATAATCTTATTTGAAATAATCATCAAAATATTGACCATATTAAACAAGAAAATAAATAATGATTCATCCAAATATTTAAACTAACACGCACACTTAAATACAAATAGAAAAAAAGTAATGCAGAGGAAAAGAATTGGAGCATAAGAAAATAATATAAGCATGTGCAAATGTTTGTTTAAAAAAATAATATGTAATTATTATAAAAAGCATTTTTTAGAAATAATCGTTACAGATAAGTTATTAAACTTTATATAGCAATTATATAACCCATTTATTATTAAAATCTAATATATCCATTTTGTGTTGTATATATATGAAAAATATTATTAATTAGATAAATTTTTAGAATAAATTTAATTTATTTTGACACATTATTTTTTTGTGTATTTGTTTAATTTATTAATATTTCCTGACATAATAAAGTTGATGCATTGAATAATTAAGTTCCGATATTATATTAATCGCTTAGCAAATGCAATTAGAGTGAATTATTAATTTAAATTAGTATATATAGAAATATATAATGTAGTTTGGTTTATTTATAAATTATAACTTATTTTTATAAATGTATACAATATTCTTTTATATAAATATGTATAATATAAATTACATTGTAAACATTTGCAGCTAAAATTTATGAAAAAATACTTGTAGGCAACAGCGATTATTAAACAGAAAATCTAATAGCGACTCACGAAATATGAAAGTCCCTTTTTCCCTTACTGAAACTTTCAACTCTAATGAAGTTCATGAAGCAACGGAGTCGACGAAAAATTTATTACCGGTTTCTATATCGAGTTCAAATAATAACAATTGTGTTCCGTCTCCTCGCCATTATAAAACTTGTAAGTAAATAATTATATTTTTAGAAGTTTCTTAAAAATTCACATTTTAATTGAGTAATTCGTTTGAGTAATGTTATTTGTAAATTATGTATTATATGTAATTTATAATTTGTTAATGCATATGGTATTTTTCATAACTTATAATCAATAGTTATATATTATAATTAACTAACTGAATAAATTTTGTATTTCAGCAAAGAAGAAATATTCAAGTACTTCATTTCAAATACCTTTTAATCCAAGTGAAAAATTGAATAAAAATATTTCTAATAAGTGATAATTAACATTGCCAATAATAAATATGAATCTAAAATAAAATATCTTTAATATAGAATTGCAGGCGTTAATAAATATTCAAATTTCAATTAACTTTAATTGGCGATGTGCGAAAAATTTGAATTTGTATATCATTGTTCAAGTACTTCAAAGGACTTCAATTTATTTTTAATAAAATAATTGATTTTTTTTACAAATAATTGCAAATTGTGTTAATGAAAACAGTATTTAATATGAATATTTAAGAAAAATGGGGAAAAGAAGTATTCTTGAAGAAAAATAAACTCTTTATTTAAAGCGAAGTTTAACAAGTAAAATAAATTTTTTTATAATTGAGATGATTGTTTTCTATTTAAGATAATTCGAATGATTTTTAAATAATTGCTACAATATTTATTTTGTTTATTATCGGAATTATTATTATTATTGTTTTATTGTAAGAAACTCATTTTATGTAAAGAATTATGTACAATGTCATTAACGCGCGGATGGAGAACAGTTACATTTTTTAGGCCAAAAGTAAAAAATAACTTGGAGTTCTCTTAATTATTTAGTTGATCTATGCATAAATTAAAAAAGAGCGACGATAAATTGAATGACTAAGCAATAATGATAGCAGTCAATGTAAAAAGTATAAATATTTGTTTTTTCTCACTCTGTATGAAAGCAATTGGCTGCATGTGACTGAATTTTATCACTTATTATTTTTCGGGAGAAGCCAATTAAAGTTGCGATTCGGTTTTAATATCTTAATGATTTATTTTTCTAAAGTCAGAAAATGCAATCTGGAGACTGCTTGACCGACATATGCTTCTTCAGGGCTTAATTCATCTTTAGATAATTGAATGGTAAAAAGGAGTAAGGAATCTCAGCTTGACAATTGTAGATTGTTAAGCTGAGGCGCAATGTACAACTGAGGTACAATTTTAACAATTATAACACATACATTTGCATCAATTAATAACAATAATTTAATTAAACGCTAAATTTAGTATATCATTTTAATTTTCTATAAGAAAGTGTTTTTATAGAAGTAAACAATCTAAACTCATACATTATAATAAATGAATCATTAATTACAGATTAATTAATTCTAATTAATTTAAAATTCTTTACAGTAGTAATATTAATATTAAAGGCCATAAAGTCTTTGATTAAAAGGTCTCCTTCTTGGACACCTTAAAAAATTAGATACTGTAAAAAGATAGGTAATACAAAAAAAAATTATTATATAGAAATATGAATTTGTAAGTATTAGATTTTATTTGTATGTTTCAAAAAAATTATGATAGAAAGTGTTACTTAAAAAATTAGATATTTTTAACCTTAGTATGGGAATAAAGACAAAATGATTAAATACATTCTTTTTAATAAAGATATATACATTTTAATAAATTAACAAAGTTTGATAATCAAATAAACAATAAAATCATAAAATTGAAGTTTGAAAAATATTCTATTTTATACCTTATATAAATAATAAAGAAGTGTATTCATTTTGATAAAAAGAAGTAAACATTTTATAATTCTAAATATCTTGAAGGTTATTGATAAATTTTTTATTTTTCAAATACTTCATTTTGCTTATTTTTAATTTATTTATAATAAAGCTCTATTACACACTACTATACAATATTTCGTTAATTTTTTCCAATTTTTTATGTGTATTTATTACTTATTAAATCTTATTATAGATCTATTTTTTGTAATAATTAAAATTATGTAAAGAATCAATTTATTAATTAAAATTGATAAAAATAAAAGGATTGATGTTTTATTTATTTAAAAAATAGATATATATGAATTGTTGATCATTATAAAGGATTAATAATTAGAATAATTAGAATAATTAATTTATTAATAGTAATTCTTGTAAATTAATATATGAATCAATGTGAAAAATAAATAAACAAAGCAAAGAATAAACTCAATAAAATGTCATAAATTTATTATTTATTATTTTTAACATTTTATTGTTATCATATATGAATTTTTAATTATCTTTACATATAAGTAAATTTGCTGAATTCCAGTTATATAATTAGAAAAAATTTTAAAAAATTAGTATTTTCTCAGTGATTTGACTATATACCAAACTACAAAATTAGGACCAAACCATAAATTTAAAAGGTCTAAAAAGAAGCTACTGAGCAAATTTCTTTATACCATTTATATGACACTCACAGGTAATACAAGTAATATTTATTTATATTTATTTCTATATTTTTATATTAATACCAGAGTGCAGCGTTACAATCAATTTTACAACAAAAACAAAATTACTTTTGTTACTTTTACTCTTTTAGCAATTATTTAACTATTGGTATTATATCAGCAGTATATTGAAAGAAATATATTGTAATACATAATCTTTTAATAAATGTTACCTATACAACAAATTAAAAATTAATTTTTCAAATATGGATTAAAAAAATTAATTATACAATTTAATAAAAGTAGTACAATTTTAAAATATAGACATTTTTCAGATGTTCTAATTTTCTAATATTTAATCTATGATTTATCATAATGTAAATGATCTCCATGAATGAAAATTTTAAAACATATAAAGAATTTTGTTTATATACCATTGATTTAGGATAAGTTTCTGCATCTTGTGTCGTTTCATAAACGTTGGTGTATAGATTTAGATATTAATTTTTTTTAATGTTAAAAAAAATAATATTTTTATCTGGCATTATGTTTAGAGAACAATGCTTTTCCTAAATATTAATAAATAATTTCTATTAATAAAAATAAATACAATTTGCAATTTTTCTTTGTATATTCTTTATATATTTATAACATTTAATATATAATAGGTTTAATATATAATAGCAGTAAAGATTAAATTACTTTGGATTTATTAATAAAAAGGAAATCATCCAAAGTAATATAAATATGGGATAAAGATTTGTAAAATAGATATTGAAATAAAAAAATTTACGTATTACTTTTATAATTTTAGTACCTTAAATACTTTGACTTACAGTCACGGCCTTTGATGCCCTTTATAGGCATAAAGAAGTCAGTTCCAAATGTCAAACAAATCATATTGATGTTAATACTACAATGTTGAGTGAAAAAATATAAAATCATGTTTCGTAATATTTTAACTTTTAATCAAATTACATAAAAAAGTAATTTGACAAATATTCGAAAAAGTTAAAAAACTGATAAAAGTAATACAAAACATAGACGTTTAAATGAGAAAAGTTATTAAAATTCGAATTGTATACTGTTAAGATGTGGCAACGTCGCAGCTGTTGTAGCACGCGCAGCCCCACAAGTGCATGAGCATGATAGTACAATACAGTGCACTGCCTTTATTAGCTTACACAAACAGCATCATTGGCTCAAATAGTTGTGACGGGTAAACATTGGCTTATGTCATGATTAGATATCTAATCAGACACATTGAGAACATTGAGCGCGATTGCAATGAAGTTACTGTAGATTGAGACGAGCAGCTATAATAGCTATCGATGGTAAAATCAATAGTAGGTCACGAGCAGCCATTTAATCATCGAGTGTCAGGAGAAGCAGTAGTAGTATAATACGCATTAGGTGATCCATACGCTTTTTTACAATTGCTTAGACTGCTATATAAGCATCGACTATATGGAGTAGACTCGTTGCCAAGAAGTCAGAAACGACGAGCTTAATCACTCATTAGCAATTTTAACAGTCGATGTTGCCTATTTCATATCGCAGAATCGATTGTTGATGAATCAAAGGATAACTGAAAGTGTTCTTGTCAGGAAAATAACGTAAGTCGCAGTTTCAACGTGCAGTCCCAATAAAATTTGCAATTAACGCACAAATTTACATGCCCCTTTGGTACATTCCATTGATTGATTATCCCACCCACTCCACAGCTGATCCGATAAGGTTTGGTTGGGTGGGAGGGGACAGGAGGCGCTATCTACGTGCATTTATTATATGTTTTTCGCTCAATCATACATGCATGTGCCCCTACTTAGAATATAAAATTCGAGTCAGAGCATAATAATATGCGCATTACCAAGAAATTGATCCAACGATAGATTTAACGTCTGAATCTCGCCAACTCGGTGCAGAAGAAGAGACAAGTAAAAAAATCACAAACTTTTAAGAAGTCAACCTGTTGGAGAATCGAGAAGACGTCGTTAAAAAAAAAGCTTTCGTCAGAAATAAAGAAATTGTACGAACAGGGTCAGAATATCACGCATAGCACATTGAGTAACAAGCACAGGTATTTTCCTGTAAAAGATTCGTGAATACTGGCATGGTATATGCGACGGGGACTTGGGGTATGGGAGAGGCTGACACGCAGTGCCACAGCGCCGATACCACCTCGTCTGTAGCCACGTCCTTGAGTCAGGATCACGATGAGGAAGTTGCCTTACATCCACTCAATAACCAGGTGAGTCAACCGACTCGCCCAGATCTGTGCATGTCTGTACGAGCTTATCTGTCAGCGAGAGAGAGGCGAGATTTTTTTCATTATCGATCACTTGCGCTTTTGAAAATGTGTTTTCCAATGCAAGTATTGAAATTTGTTTAAAAACTTCTATAGTCGAGCGTGAATATATTTCATACATTTTCGCAGCGTATGTGTAGTTATACGTATCGCATGCGCGCACGGGATGTTAAACTATAGACGACGGTTGCGCGACGCCTCTTTGTCGTCTGCTTCGAGCCATGAGAGTCGAGAAGGCCTATAAGGCGACTTGAGTATGAATGCGCGTGCCTTATGTAGTACGTCATCTCAACTTGCAGTTCGTTTTCATTCTTTTCCTTTTTTCTCCTTTTTTTTCTTACTCTTTTTGTGCCAGGTCGGAGGTCATACGCGGTTGTTGCTGCTTAACCAGAACACAATTTGCAAGCCACTGAACTGCAGGGAACTCGACTTTTACAGAAACATTCCACAAGATATACAAATGTTTGTCCCTAAATTTAAAGGTAAGCTAATTCTCTAACATTAATTTATCAACAAGATGTTTAGATACTTTATGAACCACTAAATGCTCTTGCTTATGTTTTATCAGTAACTTGTACTTTTTGTAAGATTATTTGTTTTTACTGTTTATTAAATTTATGTTCTGCGAGACTGAACTATTTTTACCCCAGTCTTTGTTTTTTACCCATTTTTTATTTTTATTTTTTAGTCAACAATTTTGTTTACAAGTATAATTAGTCAATACAAATATATACAAATATTTGAAAGAGAAAATTTTAATTATATTTATCAAATATTTCCTTATAAATTTTCTTATTTTATATTATTTTTTCATTTCATTTAAATGCATTATAAAACAATGATAATGAAACAAACAGAAGTAATAAAATAAAATAGAGAATGATAAGCATTGATAACTGCTATCCCACTGTAACAAATTCAAAAATATTTTTATATTTTTTTTATCATCAATATTTATACAATTGTAAATTCAATTTTTCTAATTTTTATTATCGAATTAGATGCTTAATAAATGTTATTATTGTCTTTATTTAAAGCATCACTGGTGAATTAAAACGTATTAATTGAATAAATCATAGCTGTTATATTGGGATTTATGTGTTATAGCTTTTTATCTTTAATAAAAACTTTATTGATTAATCGGCAAATCTTTCTATCGACATATTTTGTATGAGTCAATGCTCCAATTTATTTACATACTTAGATAATTAAATTTATATCAGATTTTTTTTAACTGATAATTGTATCGATATTAATATATTATATTGTAAATAACTTCGTACGATAGATTTAATACAGCGTGCAATTTATTTTAAAATATGTTATGTGAATATTACATTTTATAATTAACATTATTGGTTTAATATGTTGGCTCATCAATATTGCAAGAGGATAAGAATGTTGTTATTTAACATCTACATTTATCGAATCGGTTTGACGACAATAAAAACAAAAATCTTTTGAAACTAATTTGAATTAAAATTAAAAATTAAAATGTTTATAAATAAATTTTTAGTTTTTAAATCAAATGTGATGGTAAGTAGTATTGTATGGTTATTTGTTAAAGAAAAAGATAAATGAGAAAACTTATTAATAATTGTATACCAGAGATTTTTAACTTGAATTGTGTACTTAAAATTTATAAAATAAGTCATGATAACTTGATATGCAGAAAATTGAAATTGCCGTGGAAATATACTTTTCGTGCTGCACGATCGAATACCTGAACGATCGGACGATCGAACAATTGAGTATACTACCACAAAATAAAAAATTTAAAGAAATAGTTGGACTTTCAACAGAGGAGATTTTGATTTTTGACTTTTTTTTATTAAGAGCCTTCCGTACAGCCGATTTCTTTTGAATTAATTTTACAGGTACGTAATTCAAGGCTTTTACCGATTACTCACCATAATGAAATTTTTTACGATGATATTTAAATTTGTAAAGCGTCATGTCGCGATGGTTGATTGAATGATCGGCTAGCGAAATTGAAATTGGTAGAACGGGGTATGTCTGATACGCGTATAAGTTCGGTTAAGAGAACAGGAAATTCTTATCCCTCATCAAAATTAAGTAATACCGGAGATAATCGTCTATTGATCGCGTATTATTAGGTAATTAGGTTTATCAACGACCGAGGGGATTGTGCTCACTTCATTGGGGAACGCGATAAGTCAAAATAATGAACAATGAATGCATCAAATCGCGCTATGTTTGATGATTGTCTAGAAAAACAACCTTTTCTTTCAAGTATCCCCAGAGCCAATAAGTCACAAGGATACGTGTCTGGGAATCAAGGCATGGCCTGCTCGCAGACTCACTAGTGCCCTGAACACATTCCATTTGCTTCTCCTTGGCCAATGCTCGGGGTTTGTATTTTGTTGCTGATCATCAATATATTCCGCTCGAAGGTGAAAGCTCTTCGAACTGACATATATATCAGAATTGTTCTCGATCTCAGGCGAGATTTACGATAAAAAGATTGCCTGTTATCTGTACATGTAATGTTATTTCAGTCAAAATTAGTTTACTAGTTGTTACACAAATTTATGTACGATTACGGATGATGTATTCGTCGTCTACAAATTGCCGTAATTGCATTTGCATCATCATTTTCTTCTGTATGGAAACTTTTATTTAATTTTATTTATTTTACATTTATTTTTATTTTATTTTATTTATTTTATAAATATACCTAGTAACTTATTTATTAAAATCTTATATATTTGTTATTCATTAAATTTGTTTAATTTGATATTAAAGATGTCGCCCACAATGAGAACAATTCTAGTTCAAGATTCAAAAGTTAATAAAAATGAAATAAACAAACTAAAATTTTTTGGAGGTAACAAATTCATTAATTTGTATGTTGTATGTCGAAAAATTCAAGTGAAGCATACACATATTCATCAATTTGAATTTTTATGGCTAATTGAATGACGTTTTGATATACTATTTTTCTTTAAAAGTTTGAACATTTTTTATTTTCTAACTTAGTAATGATATTAGATATGTAACTTTTATTTATATACTTTATATTTCATAGAGCAGGGGTAAGGATGCAAATAATTGGGGATTGATTGATTAATCGTCATTTTGTGTAACAATTGCTTTTACGTTTTGTCTGGAATGCAGCCTTTTATTTAATTTAAAAATATATATACTAATATATATACATGTGTATAGAATTTAAACGCGTTTCGGTTTGATTGATAAGAAATTTACAATCGAGTGTAGACAGAGTCGTTTGCGACTTACCTACTATACAACTTTGTTCTGCAGATCATGCGTGCTCATCCTTATTACTGGTGTTCCAGGTGTTATGCAGGCTTCAAGCAGTGGCGAGGTCAAACTTGAAAAACGTTACAGTCCAAGTTTTCATGATCAAGAAGTTCGAGCAGGTAAAAGTTCGACTAAACGAAAAAGAGATGATGTTTTGAGGTAATTATTGCTAACAAAATATATAATAAGTTCGTTTCTTTTGATTTATTACTTAAGATACTTTAATTTGTATTTTCTGTTAGAATGAAGATTCACAAAAAAAATAATTCTGTAGATGTACTCAAAATTGGAGCGCATTTAGATTCTTCGACGAACAAACAATGTATCCTTTTAAAATAACCAATTAAATTTATTATATTACTAATAAAGACGTCAAATAAAATATATGTTAGATCTCGTTTCCTTAATAGCGTAAATAGATTTTTTACTACTTGAGAATATAACGTCGAGATATACGCAACCATGCATACTGGACTTGAAGATGGGCACCAGACAGCATGGGGATGATGCTTCAGCAGAGAAACGCAGCAAGCAAATCGCCAAATGTGCTGCAAGTACGTCTGCGTCACTTGGTGTTCGTCTTTGTGGCATGCAGGTTTGTTGTTGCTAGATTTATAAATCAATTTATCTTGGAGCCGATTCTTTCATTTTTTGATCGTATTAGGTGTATCAAGCCGACACGAATCATTATATAAAGCGAGATAAGTATTACGGAAGGGAGTTAAACGAAGAGGGCTTCAAAGCAGCACTATATAGATTCTTTCATAATGGTTTTTGTTTGAGAACGTTTGTTATTCAACGAGTAATCACAAGATTAGAACAGCTGAGACGCGCTATCGAAAGACAGAGTAGCTACCGTTTTTATTCTTGGTAAATTTTTATTTATTTTTTCTTAACATATGTTTAAAGTTTTTCGCATAATGATTGATTTGGGTAAATAATATACTATTTTCAAAGCAAATTGTGTAAAGTTTTTTCTTAAAAATAATATACAGTATTAATGTTATCATAAAAATAATGATATGATATAATTAATAAAAAGTTTATAACATTATCTTATTTATCTTATCTTATTATTTAAATTATTAAGCAATATTTTCAATATAAATTTGTATAAATAATAACCATTTTATATAAAAATAATGGTCAATATTGTAATTTAATATTTAGAAATATAAAAATCTTTATTTCGAGATTTGATGAATTAGATAAAAGTTCATTTCTATTGGTAATACAATATCACAATTAATTATTGATAATTAATTACAGTGATAAGAGTTAAGAATACCTATAGGAATGAAATTATTAACAAATTAAATATTCTGTAAAAAGTATTTGTAAAATTGTAAATTTGAAACATCTTACATTATCTTATTTGTTTACTTATCGCTTTTTATCTTTTCAACAATAAATTCTAAACAATGCAAAGGTAAGTGAAAATATGTAACGCAATCATTGAAGTTCAATATATTTAAGAATCAATTTTCTTTCTTACTAATTTTGACCAATGTAAGTTACATATATATTCTGTCAATAATATGAATTTAATTTAATTACTTCAAAAATATTACAAGTGCACAATAAAATATCAATTTCTAATTTAATTTTATATAGTGTGTTTTGTATTATTTTACAAGACTTAATAATACAATTATATATATATATATATATATATATCATTATATGAAGGCCTTACTCTTCAATTAATAAAGTTTGAAAGTTTAATTTATTTTTTTCTACAGGTTTCTTTATTATCAGCATTTTTTTATTGTAATTGCAATGGACATAGACATTCTAGTTCATTTCGTGTCAATCCTTCTTTTGTAGCTCTCTTCTAGTGGTCTACGAAGGTTATCAAATAAATGACTATTCGAGCCAACGTCATGCAGTGGCCCTGCACACAGATAAGGCTGCAAATGTAAGCTTTATGCAGAAAGTAGTTGTGACATCACACGGTTCTGATACTTGCTGCTATGATGTGGATTCAAGCAACAACACAGCAGATTACAGCCTGCTAGTGCAAGATGAGGTTAGTCGTGTAGCCTTGCATCGAGGGTTTGGAGAGGCAGCCGCACGTGGCGCTAATCAGTCTACTGGCTTTTACCCTGTCAATGAAGAAACAGTTTTCATGGAGCATCCACCGACCCATGGGCTTATAAGTAGTCAACCCACAAATAACTGGATATTGTATGGAAACAGTAGCAGCGGTAGCAGTAGCAGTAACAGTAGCAGTGTTGATGAGTATTGTTGTAACCAGCACACTCTTGTTCATTCAGAAGATACAAGTTCTGACCTGGATTTAAGTCTTGTTTCAATTGGTACTAAATGTCGGCTGAGGCGAAATTGTCAGGTACATCATAGACATCGACTTAGGCTTTATAACAAATCTGTCAAAGATGATGATGAGGAAGAGGAGGAGGAGGAGGCGGAGGAGGAGGAGGAGGAGGAGGAGGAAGAGGCGGAGGAGGAGGAAGAAGAAGAGGAAGGTGAGGAGGATGAAAACGTGTGCACGAATTTCTCCAAACGACTTAAGGTCAAAACAACCTCTGGTGCAACTGTTACTCCAGCACTTCTGTCAGCAACTCTCGACGATTCTATAGTTGATGTACGTATGATTGATTTTGCTCATACAACCTTCAGTCGTAACCACGCAACGGTGGTTGCCAAAGCAGCAGTTGCCTCTAATCCTAACTCTGCGGTACACCAAGGTCCAGACTGTGGTTTCCTCACAGGTCTCGATAGCTTAAAGCGGCTTCTCCTCGAAATTCTCGCAGAGAAGACATAAGAGGAACGCATAACCTTAAAACAGAAAAATGGCAATTTGAACATTCAAGACGAACGCTAAGTAGCGTGAAAAATATAGTGTAATTATATTCCAAGTTCATTCTTCGAAATGGATTGCATTGATGAATGATAATTGTAAGCAAAGCATAGTGAGTAAGAAAACAAAGAGAAAGAGAGAGAGAGAGAGAGAGAGAGAGAGAAGAGTAATAATGCAAGATGTGGAGCATCTAAAAAAAAAAGAAAAATTTTTTCCAAAATTGAATCTAATTTATTAGACATTCTGTGCAAGATCTATGTATATAGTTACAAAATAAAATTTTTAATAACATATACTTTGAAACTGAATGTTTAAAATTATACTGGATAATACAGTGAATCATTATTGCATCAACGATCATTCATAATCATTAAGAATGATATGAAGATAATACGCATTTTTACGTGTATAAATGTAAATGTATAAATGAGGATACTGAGTGTTGAATATGAAAACTTTTGTCAATTCTTAAAACAATATAACTAGACTGTGAAAACCATTAATTATATAGTTTTTAAATAATTTATTAACTTCCATATTTTTTATTAGCTTTTTTCTTTACGTATTGTGCATTATAAGTTTTAGCTTGAAATCTGTGATGCAATGTAATAAAATTGTAAATGTTAATTAGATAGAACCTTTAAGAAACTTTGATTTCATAATAGTTAAAGCTCCAAGTGAAAACATCTTTATAAGTTTGATTCAAGGAAGCAATTAATAAAAATTTTTTTACATTCTTTTAACTTTTAATGCATGAATATATATTGATCAATCTTATCTGTATGAAAAAACTATGTACAAATGCAAATATAATATACAACATTATTTATGTACGCATATAAATACATATACATATTTTCATGAATATTGTCGTAAACCAATACTCATTATAATAATATCAACTAATTTTCATATATCAAAATTTTATAAAACACTATTAGACTAGTAAAACATTGCATTGATAATATTTTAAACGTTTTTATCTTTTCATATAGTACATAATTTATTATGAATATTTGATTAAATTATATGAGATACATTTCATTTAAGACCAATTGAATGTGATCTTTGTTTTAAATTTAATGAAGTTCCTAAGAAATTGTTTTATATATTGTCTAAATGTAATTTCTTTAATATTTGTTAATACAGTGTAATATATTTTAATAACCAAGTATATATTTGTATTAAAGTATCAAAATTATTTACATCAAGAAATGGTAAGAATAAGTAAATATAAAAAAGATATATTCAATTACTTTGTTATTGATTACAATTCTTTGTCACTGTTTCATTAATATTTTTATCACTTCATAATTTGTTGTTTTATTATTATGCTACTAAAAACTAGAAAGTTATCATAATATTATATTCTTTTTTTTACAAATTAAAAATTTTCTAAATTATTAATGAAATAAATTTATTTGTATCAATGGTATTCTTTTTAATCGATTTATATTTTTTATAAATTGCAGTAAAATATAAAATGTATCTTCTTAATGTTTCATAATACTTTTCATTAAAATGAAATAAAATACATAACTATAATTATATTATAACAATTATAATTACTTCGATTAATAAATAAAAATAAACTTTTTAAAAAATTAAGTGTAAATATTTTCTAAATTTCAATGAAATTTAATGCTTTAATTAGTACAATTAAATTTACTTTCATGAATTTCTTATAATCATATTTTAATAACATTTAATCACTTTCATTAAACAAACACAATGTCTTTTATAATATAAATTTAATGTCGGAATAGAAATCCAAATAAAATAAATTATATTTCATATTTTTGCAAAGTTATTTTAATAATATCTTACCAAAGTAGTGAATATTGATTATTAAATTCATGTGGTCAGTATACAATTTAGTATATATATAAAACTATTATGTAGCAATTTTGAGTTTATTACATATTGCATAATATTATTAATGTATAAAATAAGTAATATTTTATTTTAACATTCAAGTATATGTAATCATTTAGCAACATCAAAACTTTTGTAACAAATTATTTCTTCAATAGCACATGTAATTTACTCTAATCAATTTAATAAATTTTATTAAACTATATTATTTATTGTTTATTATATCCCGAATATATTATTAAAAATATTTTAAAAAATGTAATTAATATGGAGACATTATTTTGTTAAGATTAAAAATTTGATTCTAAAGGATACATGTTTTCAAATATAATTTATTAAGTTTCAATTTTATTTTAACTAGTAACTTTAAATTTACTAGTAATTTTTCCATTGATTAATATTTCAATTTAGTTTTTTATTAAGTTAATTTAGTATTTTATTAAGTTAAAATAATCATCATGATAAAATTATTTTAATATAAATATAAAAAATATAAACAAACATTTTTTTATTGATAGGAAAAAAAACTCTGAAAATTTTTATTTTTAATGAAGTAAATTATTTGTACAAACAAATGAAAATACTTATAAAGTTTAACAATGCAATAAATATTTTTCATGATATATCTTTTTTGTAAAAAAAACTATTAATATTAAATTAATTTTTTTAAATTAAATTTAGAAATAATAAAATTTAGAGTTATTTTATTAGGGGCACAACTTCAGTAGTATTAATCATGATATTAAATATGTAATAGTCCTATGATTACGATTTTATTTTTCCAGAATATTTTATGCTCAAACTTAAAGTTTATTTACTTATTTTTTTTACATATAATGTATAAATTTTGAGTTAATATAAAAAAATATATAAATTCTAAAGAACTTATCAAATTGTAAGGGCTAATTTTATAAATGAAATAGATTTATGATTAATATCTGCACGTTTACTCGAAAAATGTTTATTAGTAATAAATAATTACTATTACATAGACAAATAATCAATGGTATTTTTTTCTACAATAATATATAACTTGATCTATTCGACAACATTGAATATAATAAGAAAAATATGGTGATTTTGTAATTTTGAAATATACTGATTAAAACTTATTTTATGAAAATAGTATTGATAATATATGAAAGAAGATAAACAAGAAATTATTTAATATATTTATATTTAAATTAAATCGACAAATTAAAATATATATCATTTATAAAATCCTGTCCAATATTTACAGATTATTTCTATTTTTATTTGCATTTAGTTTTCTCAAGGTCAAAAACAATTTTCAAAATACAAAATCTTTTAACTCTCGTTTTCACCAGCCATTCGATAATGATAGCGACGCAAAGCAGCTAATTTTAATCGTTCAGTCTCTAATGCCTGCTCCAATTCCAAAACGTGTATCTGAGCGTCCATCTCTAATCTTTTTGCTTGATGTAAAGTTAGTCCCGAAATATCTAAATCTTCTGCAATATAGAAAGCATAAGACTTTATATTAGTTAATTTCAAATTCAATTTTCATTAAAATACATGTTACTTTTATGAACATTTATAATTATCATATTTAATAAATTGTTAATATTTGATAACATATATATTATATATGCATAATAGACTTTTTATTATATATTTGGATTATTGGATACAAATCTTATAGATTTGTAACTTAAGTTTTTGATAAATAATATAGAAAGGTTACCATTATCCTCAACGAGTTGATTACAACTTTTCACTGTTGCAACTACACCTCCAGTAGCTTGAGTTACCAAACGAGAGGCTTCTGATAAAGCAGATAGATTGATGCTACTTCTTTCAGCTTTAACTCTACTAGCAATGACCAATTGTGCTGTAGAAGCTGCTATACCTTGAGATGCTACTATTAATTGTTCCAATTTTCCATTTCCAGCAACGACTTTGTCTGCAGCTTCTCTAAAATATATATTTACACTTAATTAATTCTTCTATTTTATACTAATTTTTTAATTGGAACTTTATTTTTATCGTTAACTTTATTCTATCACAATAATTTCGAACTATAGTTTCAATATAGTGAACAATATTTTTCTTTTCTTGTAATTTATTTGTATAATGAAGTATAAAATGTTAACTAATATATATTTAGACAATTTTTAAAATATTTTAAGAAATATAATATTTAATATATTCCAAATGTTTTATAAACATCAGTTTTATCAACTCATAATTTTTAAATATGTATTTTTTTTATTATAATATACTTTTAGTACAATATAATAATTAAATATAAGGGTAAAATAAGTAATGAAAATAGGAAATAATATTGATTTTGTTAAAAAACACGTACAGTAAAAAATTTGCTCCCATTGCAATGGCTTTAGCTGCTGAAATTAAGCCTTCAGACCATTCATAATTACGTTTATAAAATTCAGTAGTAGAAGCCGATCCTTTGCCTTGTGCTACAATTTCCATTTGTAATAATCGAGATTTTTTTACTAAACGTCTAATGGCTAGCATTAGTTCAGTGCAGGAATCTAGGATTTTACTGTTAACTTCTAATTTCACACCAGAATCGGCAGCACGTGATTTATCTAACATTTCCTATTAAAATAATAAGGCCATGTAGTGTATATTCATTAGTAAATGTATTTTTACTATAATATATACTATAGGAAGATTTAGGAGGGTACAAATATTCAAAATTGTAATTTTAATCTCTATTGTTACTATGATTATGAATACTTAATAAGATTCAAATGTACATAATATTTCCACTACGTAATCGATTAATTCATTTATTATTATTCATATTACTAACTTATTTATTGTATCACATAATTTTCTACTTCTTAAAATAGCAAAAAAATTTAATTTAATTATTTGATAGTATATTTTAGTTTAAGATACTATATATCTTAAGTCTTATGCTCATTAATGATGTAAAGATAAATACATTTGTAATTATGAATTAATTGCACGTCATCTTTTTTAAAAGTACTTGATAATTAAAAACAAATTTGCTATTAAATTACGTATTATTATAAAAAAAACGACTAATGTCAATATATATACTAAAGTTTTTCAATACATAAATGATTAATATTATCAATATTATAAATTGATTCTTATATCTAAGCACAATGTTATAGGACCTTGTTTTACAGTTAATATGATAAATCAAATTTTTAAATATTTATATTTAAGTTTTATTTAAAGTTTAATATATAATATAACGTCTTTAAAATGACAATTTATTCAATATTTCAATCGATATCGTTTCCTTCAAAGTCGTTTTTTAATTAGACTCAATTTATTTTTAAATAATTATTAAATTATGATTAATTTCAAAATTATAATTTATATAAAAATGTCTTCTCAGATTGATTAAGTACGAAATAAAAGTAAATTAATTGAAAATTCATAGTATTTATTTTTATATAAACTATATATTACGCAAAGACAAATTTTATCGTTTATATTTATGCTTTGCAAATTAACACCGATTGTTTTTTAATTTCTTTTGCTATTTTAAATATTTTAAAACTTACATAGGTGAATATACAGTGTTTAAAACATTTTAAAACATTCTTTTTCAAATTTTGATTGTTTTAAATTGAATAATAACAATATTTCAATGTATAATATATAAGTTTTTATTAAAACAAATGATTGAATAAAATAAAAAAGAATACTTATAAAATAATTAAAGACATTTCATTAAAGATATTTCATTATCTATTATCAATGAATTTAAATTAACTCATAAAAAATATGTAAATTTAAAATTCAAATATTATTAAAATATATGTATAAAATATATAAAAAAAATATATGTAGATCAATTTTTTTCTTCAATTATAATATTTAAATGCAATTTTATTTTCAATTATTTAAATATTTATATTTAATATTTTAGATTATGTTTTGTTTTTTATACCAAATTATTATTATATAATTTGATTACATATCAGAAATCAATAATGGTCAGAAAAACACAATATAAAAATACAATACTAATATTTATTGGATCAAAATAAAAACAGAAACTTTCAGGATGGATTATTCCATATTACTGTAATATAAATATAGTTCAATGATTTTTTAAACGATTTTTTTTTATCTATACATTGTTACCGATACATACATTAAGGTGAAATATATGTATTTTGTATTACAATTTCTTATAGATTGAATTCAAAATATATTTTTGAATAATTTAACCAGATATAAAAATATACATACTTGAATTCTTGAAGCAGTATCTTCAATAGCATTATCCATATCCATTAATTCGTTTTCTACTAAATCGCCAATCACTTCGGTATTTCCTAGTGTTTTAGGCAAAGAATCTACAAGACTTGAAATTTTCTCTAATTGCCCTCTTACAACTTGAATTTGATCTGAGGTAGATGCAGATTTTTCTTTGATGTAATTCATCATAGTTATACTTTGAGATCCCAATTGTTTACATTCATCTGTTAATCCTATTAAATAATATTTTCATTTATATGTGAAATTCAATTTACTATATCAAATATCTATATTATATATCTGTTATGTTTTTATAATAATTGACGTTAATTAATGAACTATTTAATTCTATATTTTCTTAAAAATAACATAATATACAAGATTAAATACTTCAAAATGGTAATACTAACTAGTACAATTTTAAAGATTTACCATTCAAAGCATTTATAAATGATTTCATAATGATTTGCAGTTTAAGAAGTTTTTTTTGTATTAGTAAATGTATAAATTAAAAGGGGTTTGGAAAGTTTAAAAATGAATTTATACTTTTCATGGAATACAAGAATAAATGTTCTACTGTATGAAGTATTTTCAATACATATATTTTGAAAGTTTATTATAAAGTTCATAACTGAATTGGAAAAAAAATAAAATCATTTTAAGTTTTGTTTTTAACTTCATAACTTTAAATTTATTTATATTTTATTTATACGCGCATTTATGTATATATATATATTTATAAAAGTACACATATATTTTATGATTATAAAATTTATATTACAAATTAATGTACTAAATACTTACTATCTCCAAATGAAATATCTTTTGATGTATTTAAAGCGAACTTTGTATGTACCAAATATGTTGCAAGCGTATATGCAGTGTATTGAGCTATGCATATTAATTGCCCACTTTGAGAAGAATCAACTATATAATTATTATATACTGTGTTCAACTTATTTAGTGTCTTATCCATAGGCTGTATAATATTGATAAGATAAGCTGGAGTACACGTAACTGCAGAAACTGCTGGATTATCAACCATATGTATTGCATGTTGTAAAATACATTCAGCCTCCGATAAACATAATACTGCAACATTTCGTTTTAAATTAAATAGACTTTATGTGCCATTTAAATATACATAAGCGCGCATGCTTCTATTTTAGTCTCTTTTTTCTGCATCATTGACTTACTAAGTAAATCGTATAAGATCGCATCGAAATCGTCTTTTACGTGTGTAAGAGAGTGTTCAGTTTCGATCTGCAAATTTGTAAACTTCATTTCTAACTCATCTTTTTGAGATATTAAGTCGTGTAACTCTCCATCTACAGCAGCTTTTTCGGATGTAATAAAATCAATCTTAGCGAGGAGACTCTGCAAGTTTTTAGATTTAAATTGTAAATTTTTAATAACCAATGAATTTTTATTTAAATAATTTAAGTGAAAAATACCAAATTTTCAGTTTTTGCAGCATCAAACTCTTTTCTAACATTTTCTAACTCAGCTCGTGCTTGCATAATACGTTGAGTTTCTTGTTTAATTGTTGCCTGACCTTGCACTTGTTCTTGAAGACATTGTTCAGCTTCAAGAGTTCGTCTTTCAAACTGATCCAATTGTAATTTCGTATTTCCTAATTGTTTATCGACTTCTGCTTTCTAAAATATAAATAATGTTAAAAATACAAACAAAACATTTAAATATATAAGGTACGTAGTTACTTTTCTAATTAAATTAATGTGTTCTTCTCTCAATTTAGAATATACATCTTTAAGTTTTTGAAATTTTTCTTCCCATATTTTACTTCTTCCTAAAAATAAATAATGCTATAAAATAATGGAGTATATTTACCTTTTATTTATACTTTATCTTTTTTTTTAATATTTACATACTTTCAGTCGTATTGTATTGTAATAATATTTCTTCTTTTTGTTTTAATAAATCTTGAATAGATTGCTTCTCTTGAAGGATTTCATTTCTCTAAAAACAATACAATTAATTTTTTAATTAGAATAATAAATCAATTCATTAAATTAATACCTTGGATGAAAGTATTGATTCAAGTTCCAAAATACGATTTCTTAACTCCCCAACAATATGATGATGATCAGTAAGTAAGCGTTGCATCTCTTGTCGTTGCCTTGAATTTTCATGATGAAAATGATCGATTAAACTGTCTCTATAGACTCATATTAAGTAATTTAACAAATTGAAAAAGCTTAATACAATAATAAGCAATAAATAGAATTTAAAAACCTTTCTGCTAAAGCATCAGGTGAGATTGAACCATTGTGCTCAAAGCCTGGTTGATCTGATAATGAATTAATATCTGAAGTATCTGAAGCATCAATTAAGGTTCCTTCAGTATCAATAGGTTCTTCAGGTGGCAATACCACTACTGGCGTTATATATGTTCCTAATTCAGATTGTATCAAAAAGTTTGGAGGATTCTATTATATAAAAAGAAATTTAAAATTAAATTGAAAAATTTTAATCTGTAAATATCAAATAATGTTTATATTTAGAATGAAAACTTTTATCTTATCTAACTTCTCTATCATTTATTTTGTATTATTTATAAATAAATATTAAAACGTTTTACCTCTGGTAATATTGGTATAGTTATTAAATGTTTGAAATAATGCATATGCATAACTGTATTATAAAAGCATTTTAAATCACGGAATTGCTTAAGAAATCGTTCTCTATGACCAGCTAAAGTAATTATATAATTTAAACAACATTTTCACGCAATAATCATATAACTGAGATGCATCTAGAACACATGGAATTAATGGAGCAAGACGACACTGTCCACATGGAGTCATTGAATTAGATCTTGATAAATCAAGAGATCCAAATACTGAAAATTTTTATATTGAAATAAATTGAATTTACTATATATTTACATTAGATAGTATAAAAATAATAAAAAAATTAAATATTTACCAGCTAGCTGTAAATTAAGAATGTCATCCATATAATCAAACATCTCAACAGTCATTTGAAAACTATAATTATTTCAAATTTCATTTATAATGAAAAGTAAGCTTTTATTAAGTTAATAAAGAGAATACATACTAAACATTTATATCATTTTCTCCGATTGTTTCAAGCTCTTCTGATGTAACTTGAAGATTTCCTGGCATACGAGGATTACGCTTATGAAAATCTAATTTAGTTATTAATAATTGTATATAAAAATGTATTAAACGACCATATTCTTCCCTTAAATGTTGCCATAATTTTCCAATATCTTCTAATTTTCCTCGATGATGTTGTGAATCAGAAATAACACCAGGATGACCTTCACGCAATAGTTTATGTAAAACATGACAAAACTTCCATGCTACAATTCGATTCTCTTGTAACTGTTGTCGTAAAATATAAGTCCAGAAAATAGTACCACCTTTTTCTTGGTAAGTTCCAATAATGGCAACTATTATTTATTTTAGGAAAATTATTTTTAATAAATATATATATTTTCTACTATATTATATAACATAAAAAAGGATACTGCGCACATGTTTTTCTTTAACTTTTGTTTCAGAAGGATTTACGGCTTTTGCGATGCTAGTACTCTACAGTAGAATCAATATATTTGATTTAGTCATAAAAAGTTTTAAATAATTTTTACATTTAAACGATACTATAAATCAATAATTTTTATATTCAGACAATGTTTTGTACATAGTAAAAAATCAAACTTACCAATTGATGAATTTGCTTCTCATTAAATGGTAAAATAGACATGTTAGTGGCTTAAAATATCAACAAAAATAATTTTAGCAGATTTGATAATAATCAAGATATTACAACACATAATAGTTTTGATATTCTCTTGCTTATTTTTTGCCTTGATAATTTATAATGATACACAAATGGTTATTTTAATGATATAAACTATCTCCAAAGCTAGTTTTAAAAACAAAACAAATAAAATAAAATTCTTTTCAATATAAAATTTTGATTATTACTTACTGTTTATTTAAACATTTTAAAGAATTACAAATATATTATTTATATTAACAATTATAATTATTTTATGATGATGATTAAATATCAACAATTTTTAAATTAAATAAATCACTTTATACAATATTAATCTTTAAATTTATAAAAACATAATAAAATTTAATGTGTTTTGCATTAAATTTACCAAGATAAATTAATTAAATACTTTAAAACATTGTTTAACATCAATTATTGTAAAGCTAAAACAAATTATATCTAAAGTATCTTAATAAGAAAAGGTAAAATTTGTTTTCTTAGTTAATTAATCCATTTGTACTTCTATAACATATAGAAAGCGCTAGGACCATGAGAACGATAAAGAAAATGGAAAAAACTAAAAGAATGTATATATACATTGTAATATTATTTCACGTGATTAATTCAATATTACCTGGAATTTTTCAAAATGTTCTTGTTCAAAATCTAAATTGGTCTTTCTTTGTTGAAGTATTTGAGACAAAGATAAAGAGGCCATAATACAAAAAAAAAAGTAATACTCTTTCGATAATATCTATATTTCGAATACACTTTTTAAATAATGTGTTGTTGCAAATATATTACACCATGTGACTCCAAAACAATTTATTTATTTTTAATACTTAGAAATTTCTGGAAATTAATTTAATGTATAATTGTGCGTAGAACAAACAATAAATAAATAAAAGGTAAAATTAAAAAGAGGAAAATAGAAAAGTGATTGATGAAAATGTGCAAATTATAAATACCAAAATCAATTCAAGACGTTTTATACATCATACACACGTGTCGAACATATCGATATTTATAAGCAACCGTTAATCCAAATTCTAACTAACCATACTATTTCTACTACTGCCTTGATAGGAAGGGATTATTTATCACAATGCATATTTGGTGCATTCATCCAATGATGTGTCGACATCCAGCAGTGTCTAATATTCCTCTTTTCTTAACTGTCTATTTCTTTTTATTATTTTGTAAAGTAATAATTGCTCTCCAGTTATTTTTCTTTCTTCAGTTTCTGTATATTTAAATCGTAAAGACTGAAGGATTATGTGTTGTGCAGTAGGTTGATAAGCATAAGGCATAAATACATACAGTTTAAATTTATTTTGAAGACTATTTTTAGTTACAAATTCAATATTTTATCTTATTTTGATAAGGTTTGAATAATAACTATTAATAATAATTTTTATATATATAACCTGCTAGAATTTAAATAAATATAAAAATGTAATAGTTCAGAAATAATAATAGAATACGTATTAAACAATGAAAATTAATATTAAAAAAATATTACTAAAAAAAATATATTTTTTGCCTACCAACATTGGGTTAAAACTTAGTTAAATAATTTTAATGAATTGACTTATCTTCCTAAAATGTTCTGCCCAATACAGGGTGTTGCAAAATATTTAGGTAACATTTTAATATTTTTTGTTTGAAAACAATTATAGAAAGGAGATTTTATATAAATAGCAAAATAAATTGCATTTAACTTCCATTAATACAAATTTATTGATCACTACATAATTACCAAAGCAACTGATATAGTGATTAAGCTTTCTGCATATTATATGTTTGAGTAAATATCCTCACTGACAAAAATAGAGCAGTTAATATAATTTAAATATTAATATTAGCTATTTTCTTATATTATTTATTTATACAACGAACTTGTTATTAATTAGTGATCCGTAATTTTTACATTTCAAATTATTAAAAAGAATTATTTACATATTTTATTCAATTTCGTATTACAATAACATAATGCATACATTAATAAAAATGTAATTATTTTCGAAAATGAAATAAAAATGTACTTTATGTGCTCATTCTTCACCAGCTTTTTTTGTGAAAAGCCTAAAAAATTAGGAAATTCTATAACTATATATAATATCTCCGTATATATATATATATATATATATATATATATATATACATAATATAGATAACTTCCGTATATGAATAGTTTTCTGAAATGAAACATTTTAAAAATAAAAAAAAATTTTTCCAAAATAAAATAAAATTTAATTATGACAATTTTATTTATGTATTGTTTTTCATTTGAAATTCATATAATTTTCTATTCATTCAATTTGTTTTACGATTCACATGTGCTGTTGTAAATTAAATTGTACAAATACACCTACATAAAAGAATCCCTATTTAAATTAATTGATATGATGAAAATAAGGAAGTTTTAATAATATTTTTACATATGTATTTTTTTAAATTAATTTAACATATCAAAATTATTAACAACTTATTCAAAGATATTTAAAATTGTACCATAAAATAAGTGAACAATAATGAACTATTGAACTGGAAAGAACGAATATAATAGGTTAATTATAAACAAACGAATTATTTATTTACGAAATGGTGATCAAAAATTAAATTTTGTTCTCATATTAAAAGATTAATTATTATTATATGACTATTGAGAAAAATATTTAATTGTTGAAACTGTGAAAGTATCGTTATATCTATAGAAGCATATAATCTAAATGATTCAGTATAGAAATAAATAATCTTAGAAGTAAAAAAGTATTTGGAAATAGACAATCATATTGCTAATTAAAATTTCTTTTTAAATAGAAGATTAATTAATAGCGAAATAGAACATTTTTAGAGCAACTGAGACCTTTAACCTAGATTAAATGTTTATAATCATATTTTCCCAATTTTAACTTAATTTAAAAATATAGTAAGCCTAACATTTTAAAGCAGACTTGGCTGTATACATCTAAAAATAAATCTTAATTATAGTAAATTTAATTACTAAACACATACACAGAAAAACAAGGAAATAAAATAAATAAATATCAATTTTAAGCAATTCTCTTAAGTTGAAATGATTTAATAAAATAGTTTGAAAAATAAGATTATTTTAAATATTTATCTTATACATTATTCTTTTATAAATATTTATCTTATACATTATTCTTTTATAAATATTTACATTAATTTCTATAGACCTCATTTTCATGATATTCCCAAAACCTTTACTAATAAAAATTTAGAGATTTAAAATTACTAAAAAATCATGCAATTATATATAAATATATTTATTTATAATTCACTGCACAAAATGTATTCGCCGTTCTGGCTTGTTTTACCAAGGCCGGTTCGAAGGATACAAATTGATGCCGTTGACAACTCGTTGACCACGGGTGTGTGTGGTAGTGATGAAAGGTCACAAGTGGAAGAGATGTTATAATAATACAATATAAATATGGCTGATGTATATGCTATTTATTCTGTTATTTATTGATGACAAGGTTGACTAGTATTACTATTATTAATTATGGAAATAACTCTTGAGTTGGATTGGTGTGTTTGCGGTGGCAAACGTATAGTTATCTATGCAGTTTGACGATTTGACTGGGGAATGGCGCGAAGCTTGATTCGTCGACACTCGCACTGTTTGTTGCTTAATTTCATAAACGTCCGAACTTGAACTAAGGTGTGGGTTGCCGAAAAGACGCCCTTTTAGCGGGCTCGAACTTGACAACGCGTACTGGGATCTATTCCACACTGTTGCTTTGGGGAGAGCTTCTTCGTTCTTAGTTACTTGTCGATGTCATAATCTCTGAATTTCAGAGTATGTAATTATTGTAATAATAATATTACTTACGAAGACTGCTGGTATATTTGAAATTGGGACCTCCTTGTTCTTTCTTCAAGGGAGCTTGTCACTGGACACTTGTTGGAATGCGTCGCCCGGCAATAGGACTTGTAACTATAGTTGTATTGAACTACGTTAATAAGAAACTTCCAACGTGTCTGGATTTCGATAAGGTAATTCGTCTCCCGCCAATAGGACTTCTAACGATAGCTGTGTTGAACTACGTTAATAGGAAACTGCCAACATCTTCGGACTCTGATATGCGGATTGTCGTCGCTCCTTTGAACTTGTAACGACGGTTTCTTGAACTGCGTTAATAGACATACGGGTGTATGTCGTCGGTCCTCTAGGACTTGTAAGCATTGTTCCCCTGACAGCGTTGATGGACTTCCACTTGACACTTATTGAATAAGAACTATATCAAGAGTGTACTATATAGAAAGTGTTATATATCAAGAGTGATAAGTATTGATAAATGCGACCCTTAAATACATTTGCTGACCGTGAATTTCACTTGAACCCCTTCCCTTACTTTTTCGCCCAATCAGAGACTCCTCCCTTACAGAGCGAGGGCAGCGCCTCTTGTGGTCTTATAGTTAGTTAAGGGCCCAATCGTTTCTTGGTCTTCATGGCAAGAACTCTCGTTGCTGTTGACGCATCTGGCGACAGCATGACAACTTGGGGCAGCGGGAAGGGGGGAGTAGGTCCGCTCGCAATAATGCAAAATTGTTACTACATATCATAGTATATATTTCCTTTTATATAATATATTTAAAAATCAATAAAGGAAATAAGATAAAATTAAATAAGTTTGATATTATGTATTACCATACATATTTTACATTTAAATAGATATGAAATACACTAATGGACAGTCACGCTAGGCTATATTTTAAAGTTCAAAAAAGAGGGAATACAAAGGTATAAAAATTGACAGTATCCGATAATTGTAATAACTTATTTAACAGAAACTTTCTTTATTATATAAAAAAAATTAAATTATGTTCGGTATTTTATATGAATATATATATATATATATGCAGTTCTTATAAAAATAATTGTATTTATTTAAAAGAAGTTTTCTTTAATACATCTATTTGAAGTAAGATTTATTTTTTCTAGTAAGAATTAATTTAATCATAAACTTTAAAAATCTTTTTAGATATTTTAAAGCGAGGCAAATTTAAATTTTTATTTGTCTACAGATTCTAATCTTATGGACAAATAAATAAAATGATAAAATTTTTATATAATTAATTATATTGCATAATATTTTATTATTTCGTTAGAATTTGAAATTTAAATTTATATTCTATGCGTTTGAATAAGTTAAGTAATTATATCTTTTTTAGTCTTTAATAATGCAAAGCTTGTTTCTATATCCTAAATAAATACCTTTAAAACATATTTGTTGTATTTAATGTTTACATGAAAAAACTTTCCATAAATATATTAATTTTACGTTATATTTATTAGATTTTTTACTTAAAAGTGTTATTAAGTTTTATTATTTTATTTATTAATTATTTTATAAATTAACTTATAAATTAACTTATAAGTTATTACTTAAAACTATTACTTAAATCATTGATAATAACAAGAAAATTAAAAAATAAATAATTTTAAGTAGTACTTTATGTAAATATAATTGGGTAAGTTATTTTACAGATCAACAACTTTGATCTAGCGCATACGATGCGTATATATCCATGTTACGGTCAAAAAATTGAAAGTCATAAATGGGAGAGGTATGAATGCGTAATTCAGTTATTTAAACAAAATACTAGCAACGAACGTTCCAGGCTATGCCATGATAACGTCACGACCGATAATATTTAAGGGCTGCGCTTTACGCGCAGCAGTCAGTTTGCTTCAGTCTATTAATATTAC